TCTTCCTCGGTCTTCTGGAGGGGAGCTGAGAGTCTCTACCATCACAGAGCTCTGCTCTGCTCTTCTGTTCTCTGTCAAATCCCTCCCACCGTTGCTTAACAATTACCACAGATCCAGGGGAGTTTCTGCCCCCTCTCCCCTCTGAACCAGCTCACTCTGGGCCAGCAGCAGCACTCCCCATTCCCAGCTCTCTTTGTTGGGTCAAGGACTGGGATCACAGTCTCCAGGGAATGCATCACAGTTTGGCACAGACAGCTGCTGACTGCCCTGGGGAGTCTCCCCTTTGGGTAAAATCAGTTCTACTATTTCATCAGCATAAGGAGCTCTCGCTGTCCGTGAAGGCTGGCAACTCGCCAAGAGGACAAGCGACCTACCCAAGGTCATTCAGCCCATATGTGTCAGGAGTAGACTTTGAACCCAGGTCTTCCTGACTTCAGGGTTGGCCCTCTCTGTACTCCCCCCTCCTGTCTCTCTGCCTGTTTGCAACATTTAAAAAGGCTTTGTTAATGAATGTTAAAATTGTTTTTACATGCAACTGGGGAAAAATAAAATACTAAATAAAAAAGATAAAAAGGCGTTGCTAATGCATCATCTGGACGTTTTAAACCCCATGCCACCATATCACCCTTCAATCCACAATCCCTTTTGGGGGGAGGGGAGTAATAATTTGCTAGACAATAAAACAAAACGTCCGAGGAGGCTAAGCCTGACCACGGCTGATCAGCCTCATTATTGGCACAGGCTAACCACGGGAAAAATGACAGGGAATGTAAACTGAGTCAAAATGGAAATGCCCCAGGTCGAGGGGTTCAGAAAACCTGGACACCCTCAGTAGCTGCCTCTCTGGTGTCCACATTCCCTAACAATCCAGTAAATGCACTAGATCGTGGCCAGCCCCAATGGGTAGCCGCCATCTTTCTGGTGTTCACCAGTCCCGGGATCACGGGGCCATTTCTGGACGAGGCCCTAGGATTTGTGAACTTGTCCACATCCTGGACTCAGCGGGCAGGCCGTCTGGTGAGGCCACTGGAGCCCTTCTCACAAACATATTTTCTTCAATGCAAAAAAAAAGAATACATGGGATTACAAGACAACCAATCACCCAGAAAAACAATTATTAACATATTTTTAATATTTTGATATTTTTAATGCTGTAAGGTTTAATAATCCAATGCTATAATTTTACATAGGAGGAAGTCAAAATCCAGAGAGGAGAAGGATTTATGCCGGGTCTTGGAGCTTGAACCCAGAGCAGGATTCCAAATCACACGTTCTGGCCCCAAATCCAGCCTTCCTTTTACCAGGGCCATTCACCACCACCCCTGAAAGTAGGCAGCTCCCTCATCCCCATTTCACAGATAGGGCAGTTAAGAACTTTAGAGGATGTAGTGCCTAGGTCAGGGTCACTGAAACAAGAGGTCACCATCAGGAGCCCGAGATCCTCTGGTGATCTCCAGGGAACAGGGAACGTTGCTCCCCCCATACTTCGCTGCCTCCCCTACACCAGACCGATGCTGAGACCTGCTCATTTCCAAGGAAATTCTCCTTTTCCCATCAAAGGGCTGGTCTGTGTCCTGATAAGCTCTGCCGGTAATAAGCACCCACACTATTAGTTGCCAGAGTCTTGTGGGGAGGAGATGGAAACAGACGGGATTAAGAACTGAATGAATTTCTTTTCTTAGTCTTTTGGGTCACACCTGTGAGTGAGGCAGTCAAGAACCTGGCACAGAGGGGCGACGGAAAGGTCTGGGAGGCCTAACCTCCAAGAACAGGAGGTCATTCTGCTCTTGGAGGTCATTCTGCTCTTCGAGGTCCGGCTCCAACCTCTTGAGCTAGTTAGAGAAAACCCTTCCTGATGGCTGGCATGCTCATTAGGAACTGTTAACACATCCAGAAGGATTTGGGTTGAGCTTAGGAAGGTGCTACTGACTACCAGACATTGCCCGGACACAGAGAGTAGGGGGTAGCTGGACAATGTCAATGGGCCCTAGGGACAGGATGATATCATAGGATGCCCCAGTTGTAGAAATTCAGTAGGCAAAGCTTTAGCTAAAAACTATATGGTTGTTCAGTCATTATCCCATCTGGGCTTTTCTCGGCAAAGATACTGGAGTGGTCTGTCGTTTCCTTCTCAGCTCATTTGACAGATGAGCACACTGAGACAGAGTTAAATGACTTGCCTACTGTTTGAGGCCTGATTTGAACTCATGTCCTCCTGACTCTAGGCCTGGAGCTCTATCCACTGGGCCATCTAGCTACCCATGAATCCTCGACAATTTTCTGGAATTCTGTTGAATGAATGTTTTGCCCCATGGTGAGAATGGGAGGTGAAGAGAAGCCTGAGAAAGTCATCGGGGAGATCCGGTGGCTTCCAAAAGGTCAGATGGTCAAGGTTGAAGGGTTCCTGTAAACAATCCACCCATCCAGCCCAATCTGGCTCCAGGGAAAGCAGAACTGTTGGGCCCAACCAACGGAAACAATGACCATTGCTTCAAAAGTACTTGTGAAGTTTACGAAGGCCTTCCTTCTCTCCCAAAAGCGTGGGAGGGAGCTGGGAGGAGGACAGCAGTCCGGAGAGGCCAATGCCCATCACACATGCAGTGGCCTAGGACCCGTTCAAGCCCCAGACTTGCCCTTTGACATTAGGCTGCCTACCTGCTCAGTTCTAAGGAAACCGCATCCCCTCATTGGCTTTCAGAAAAGGCAGAAGCCTTAGAGACATTGGAGCCCAACGCCCTCCTTTTGCAGATAATATAGAAAGAATTTAAGCTTCTTTGATGAACGCCCAGCCTACATCTTAAACTCAGCACAGCCAAAACCAAAGCCATTACTGTTCTCACTAACCCCTCCCCCCACCTCTTACCTTCCCTGTTGCTTAGAGGGTTCCACCATCTTCCCAGGCCCAGGCTCTCAACCCAGGAATCATCCCGGTTGATGCCTCTCACACTGTCTCTTACCCTGCCCCCGCCCCATCCAACATGGTGCCCATTTCACCTTTGGGACATCTCTGGGGAGACATCTGCCCCCTTCTGTCCTTGGACACTGCCCCCACTCTAGTGTAGACTCCCATCACGTCAGACCTTGATTACTGCAATGGCTGCTGGGGAGTCTGTCTACCTTAAGTCTCTCCCCACTCCGGTCCACCCTTCATTCAGCCACCAAAGGGGTTTTCCTAAAGCTCAGGTCCAGCCGTTTCACTCCTGTACTCAATAAACTCCAGTGCCCCCTCTCACCTCCGGGGTCAAATACAAAATCTTCTGTTTGGTATTCGAAGACCTTCCTCACCTAGCCCCCTCTACCTTTCCACTCTTCTTACACCATATTCCCAGACACATACTCTGATCCCAGAACACCAACCTCCTGGCTGTTCCATGAATAAAAACTCAGATCTCTCAGCTCTGCGCATAATCTCTGGCCGTCTCCATGCCTGGAATGCTCTCTCTCCTCTGCTCCAACTACTACTGACCTTCCTGGTTTCCTTTAAGTCCCAACTAAAACCCTACCTCCTACAGGAAGCCTTCCCCAGCCTTAATTCTAGTGCCTTCCCTCTGTTAATTATGTCCTGTTTATCTTGTATATGGCGTAGCTAGATAGTACAATGAATAGACTGCTGAGTCTGGAAGACTCTTCCTCCTGAGTTCAAATCCAGCCCTGGACACTTACTAACTGTGTGATCCTGGGCAAGTCACTTAACCCTGCCAGCCTCAGTTTCCTCATCTGTAAAGTGTGCTGGAAAAGGAAATGGCAAACCGCTCCAGTATCTCTGGCAAGAAAACCCCAAAAGGGATCACGACGAGTCAGACAGCACTGAAAATCCACTAAACAATCCTGTCTCTAGTTTGTTTGCATGTTATCTCGCTGAGAAGATTGTAAGCTCTTTAAGGACAGGGAATGGTTTTCCCCTCTTTTTGTATCACCAGCACTTAGCCCGGTACTGGCACATAGTAGGTGATTAATAAATGCTGATTGATCAATTGATTTGGCCCAAATCATCCCAATTCAGGATTGTACTTGGAGATTCCATTATGCATTTTGGTGAGTGGGAGGCCAGGCTGGTCCTGTGGAGACGGTGGCCGCTACAAGAAGAGAAACATCTCTGAGGACCAGATTAGGGGATCTCCAGTTCCCAATAGGAGCATTCTTAAAGCCCAAGGAATGTTGGCTGCCAGTGGGGAGGGGAGATCCCAGAACTAGGAAAGGGGAAGGGGCTGATGGATGGATAGAAGGGGTTGGACCCTTGTGCCTAGCTTCCGCAATCAGCCCCTTCAACAGGAGGGCACCTCTTCTACTGCAGGCCTCCTTCCTTACAGCTCTTGCTGGTACCAGGCTGCAGCCCCTTTTCCCTGCCTGCCTTGGGCTGTCTTCATTCACCCACATCTTATCTAGACCCCAAGCTCTTTGAGGGCACGCCAAATGTGTCCCTCTGGAGTTGATGTTGAGTGAATGAATGACTCCCGCAGTATCCCCAAGCCATCACCAGAGTTCCAGAGAGCCCCAGAAAGAAGGCTGGCTCTGGGCTCTCTGGGCTGCTTCTGCTGCTGCTGCTCAACCCTCCCCTCTCTCTTGCCCAGCTCTATCTAGTTAGGAAGAAGGTCAAGTCTCCAGCTATTTGCTCATCTGATTTGGCCCCGGGGCTGATTCCACCATGCCCCTCACCTTCCCCCACCCCCAGCTCCCCCTGCTCTTGCTTGTCAGGTTTTGCCAATGAGTGGTCTTTTGCTTCACTACTTAACTCGGGTCTGCCCAGATCTTCCTCTGGTGTCTGGTTGGGGCAGCCTGTTCCATGCCATTTCCCCTGGGCAGCCAGAAACCCCCTGCTCCCTGCTCCCCTCCCAGCCCCACCGCGGGGACAAGGGACAAGGCAGGGGCTTAAAAAATAAACGGGCGTTGGTGATTTATTAGCCTGGTCTAAGGAAAAAAGGACGGCAGAGTGGATGGCAGGAGGGCTAAATGAGGGGCAGGTAAGCCAGCCACCTTGGCCCCATAGTTCCTGGTGGGTCTTAGTTATTGTCAGCATGATTCCGATGGGGAGAAATGTGGTGGGCCATAAAGCGGAAGACAGAGCGGATACCCTCGACGGTTCTTCTTTCAATGTTTCCCAAGAATTGACTCATCCTCCGAAACACGCTACCAGTTCCAGAGAAGAGCCCGGAGGCAAAAACATTGTGGGCCTCACCCAGCAGGCTGGTTATGGAGCGAAGGGCAGTCCCCGGACTGTGAAGGATGTCGGTCATGGATGTGTGGCTGGCGTTCAGAAGCCCAGTGGCAGTGCCCATGGCTGTCTCTGTCCAAACCAAGATGTCAGTCAGAGAACTGATGGGCCCTTCCCCACCCCCCACCAGACTGGTAATCGACCTCATGTAGCTGTCATTGTCATCCTCAGCGCCGATCAGGGAAGTGCTGGACGGGGGGTTGGGAGACCCGGGGGCCGTGGCTACCTGGGGACAGGCAATGGAGTTATGGGTCTGGGAAGTGGACAGGTCAGGTAGCACCTCCCTCTCAAAGAGGAGTGAGAGATGGCTGTTGGAGATCACAGTGTCATCCTCACTGAAGTCCTGGCTTTTGGATAAAGTCAGGGCCTCACCAGCGTCCCGGTAGATCTGAGATAACTCGTCGTCACTCTGAGTAAGGCTCAGGCTCTGCTGGTCCAATGCATTGCTGTTGTTCAAGGTGGTCTCAGGGTTTTCATTTTCAGTGCTGACAGCAGCTCCAGAATTCTGCAACGAGGTGGAGCTCATCTATCCTCACTGCCACTTGCAGGTGGTCTTGAGGCAAGTGGCCATGACCTTGCTGGGGGTCCTGGAGCCCAGCTGGGTTGGGCCCTTGCAGGCAGTGAGGTCACAGGGGCCAGGGGAGAGCTGATGATGTCACAGGCACCAGGAGTAAGGGCCTGGTCCGGGGATGAGTCTGGAGCTCTTCCTCTCAGGGAGAATCCCCCGGCCCCTGGGGCAAGATACCTGAGTGGATTAGGAAGATCTAGAAAGAAGTAAAAGAGTCAAGCTCTAGAGTGAGGACAATTGGGAGGCTGGTGGTGGGGTCTAACCTCCCATCCAGGCTGGGGACCTTCCCCAAGCCCATTAGCTACCATCCAGATTTTGTCCTCCTCTGTCTGTCAGAAAAGGCCTGGGGTCCATCCCTCTCCTCCCCACCAGCTGACCTTCACAGAGCTTTAGAAACCCAAGATGGGCCATGGCCTGGGCTACCCCCTTGATCCCTAGGAGGGAGGGACTTGCTGATGATTCCCAGTATTCCTGAGGAGGGATCTCTTGGGCCGGGCCAGGGAGGGTTTTACCTGGAGGCCTTCGGGATGAGCTCATCATGGTTGGAGGGGGCCTTCCACCTCACAGCCCTCAGAACAGGCCCTTCAGTCAGCTGATCAACAAGCATCGAAGGGCACTGTGCCGGGCACTGGGAAACATGACAAAAAGGAAAACTGTCCTCGCCTTCAAAGAGCTTACAGTCTGTCGGGGGAGACACACGTGGAGCGTGTCCATACAGAAGTATATGCAAGTACAAATGCCACCTCAATCTGGGGTAGTTTGGGGGATGAGCAAAGAGGTTTCATGCAGAAGCAGGTGGTCGATGTAAGATGAGCCATGACGTTCGGGGGCCAGAAGGTGTGTGCTCCTGGAAGGGGTGGCCCCATCACCCAGGCCAAAGGAGTGAGTGCTGGGGTGGAGGGGATGGGCAGCAGAAAGGCCATTTGATTGGACTGCAGATTGTGGGAAAGGTCATAATAGAGAATGATGTTGGAAAGGAAGGCTGAGGCCCCGGGGAAATGGCAGAGAGGATTCGAACCTGTCACATGCTAGGGGCAATAGGGCAAAACTAGGACTTCTTGGGGAAGGGGAGTGAAAAGTCAGATCTATGATTAAGAAAAACTGTTTGGGGGCAATGGGAAGTATGGATAGGAGGGAGGAGAGACCAGGCCTGGGAGGCCAATTCCATGGTCACTGGAGTAGTCCACATGAGAAGCCATGAGGCCTGAATGTGAGGAGGGACAAGGGAACAGCTTTAAAAGAGGCTGTAGAGGTGGAAAGAGAAAGAAGGAAGGAAATAAGCATTTATTAGGCACCTACTATGTGCCAGGCACTGTACTAAGCTCTTTTTAAATTTTACCTCATTTTATCCTTGAAACAACTCTGGAAGGTAGAAGCTACTGTTACCCCCATTTTACAGTTGAGGAAACTGAGGCAAACAGATAACAAGTGACTTACTTGCGCAAGTCACACAGCTAATAAGGATCTGAGGCGGCCCTTGAACTCAGGTCTTCCTGAAGCCAGACTTAGTGCTCTCTCCACTGCGCCACTTAGTGGATCTTAAAGGTGAGTGAGGAGCAAAGAATCTGGGTGCCTAGAATGATGATGGTGGTGGGTTTTGGGGAAAAGATAAGGACAGATTGAGTCTAAGATGGCTCCAGGTCATCCCATCTACAGTGTCTGGTGTGCAGCTGGTGATTCCGTACTAGCTCCCCAGAGGCCAGGCCTGTATCTGTCTCTACTATCTATCTGGGAGTCATCTGCAGAGAGATGATCATTTAGCCTCTAGGAGCTGGTGAGGTCACAAAGAGAGAGAGTGTGCATGTAGAGAGAGAAGAGAGGAGGGCCCTGGGGCTTTGGGAACATCCCCAGTTAGGGAATGTGATATGGATGAAAAACCAGCAAAGGAAACTGAGTCAGGTAGCAGGAGGAATGCCATGGCTCCATCCTCACCCCTTAACCATGATCTGGTAGATTTCTCACACCTGTCCATTGACCTGGAGCCCTGGGACCATGAGGGCCTCCAAGCCAAGGTTTCCATGGACTCTGAAGCCTGATCCCCAACTGGCCCAGTGAGAGCAAAACAATCTAAGGATGGCTTCTCCTCCCCTCCCCAACTCAGTCGCGGGATGCAGCCCAACTTTCCTGGTGACCTAGTAGGAAATGCATCCTGGTGGTAGACAGCCCTACGGAAACCCTGCCCTTTGCGTCTCACCAGCTCCCACTATTCCTGGTGGTGGCTACAGTGTGGAGCCTGACACAGCATGACCCGTCCGCTTCCACACACCCCTTTAGCTTAAAATGGGGACCTCAGGAACCATCTGGTTCAACCTTTTCATTTTACAGATGAGGAAACTGAGGTCCTCGGGCTAAGTGATTTGTCCAAGGTCCCATCAGTAGCAAGCAGCAGAGGTGGGGTCCTCTGACCCAGACCCTATCCTCTTTTCACTGTACCAGCTACTTCAAGGTCAGAGAAAAGGGATTTTATTGTGCTCACACAGAAGTTTAGATGAAAGTAGTCATGACTAAAACCTAGGCTTCCTGGTTCCCAGGAAGAGTGTTACCTCTAATAGCCAGGGAGGGGCTGCTGCTGCCCCATGGCCAGCCCAGGTCTCCGCTGCTGTCCATCCTCCAGTCTTGTCTAAGGGATCTCTCCTGGTTGCCTTTTATTCAGTAAACCCCACTGGCCCCTAGTTATGGCCTCCAGGATGAAATAAATATCACAATAGCTGTCAGGCATTTGGGGGGTATGTTCCCCAGGAGAATGTAGGTTCCTTGTAGGCAGGACCCAACACACTTTGTATTTTCAGGGCCTGAAAATCATAGTAAGCACTTAACGACTGCATAGGGATTGACTGACCAGGAGGGGGTGTGCAACATGCAAACGGTCAAGGTTAGGTTTGACTTAAGGAGAGAGTTTCCTGGCCTGAGAGCTGCCCCCAAGTGCCACGGGCCCCCTTGGGAGGTGGGGGCTCCTCCCCGAAGATCCTTAGGCAGAGGCTGACCTCTTGTCAAGGGGATTCCTGATTAGGTTGGGGTGGCACCGGATGGCTCTGTGGTTCCTTCCAGATTCTGTGATCGTGACCAGAATTCCTTCTGATTCACCACCCCTCATCCAGTCAGAGAAAGGCCCCGAGAAATAGGTTCATGGCCCAACAGAAAGAACTTTGAACCCAGTTCAGAGGGCCTAGGTTTGAAGTCCAGCTCAGCTACTTACTACCCTGTGGCCTTGGATAAGTCACTTCCTTTGCCCTGTGCCTCAGTTTCCTCATCTGTAAAATGTTGACCTCTGAGGACCCTTCTGGCTGTAGATGGAGGATGGATGAGGAAAGCAGCCATCCCAGGCTCTCAACAAGACTGGCAGCATGTACGACAGTCGTGCTCACCTATCCACACGCAAGATGGGTGGGGCAACGGGGGAAGATTCCCAAGAAGTTAATTTCCGACAGGCATCTGCTTGCAGCTCCTACCTCCTGAATCTTCCCGAGCCCTGAAAGGGGCCAGTTTCATGACCTCCAGCAAAGATCCCTGATTTTGCAGCTGTCATGGGCGATGCCCAGGCCCTGCCTCTGAAGGCAGGAGGGTCGGGCACAGCTGGTGCCCTTTGCCTCCCCCTTGGCAGCCGGAAGGGGGCAGTGCCCTCTGACCCAGCCCACCCTGAAGCAGCCCCAGATTGCTGTCCTACCAGCCCGCACAGTAGCAGCCCCAGACGTCAGCTCCTCTCAGGGCTTTGGAGGGTCCTGTCTGTCCCAGGACTCTGGGCCCAGCTTGAGGGCCTGGAGAGTCAATCCTGGGATCACTGGTTTCTAGAATCTTCCATCAAATCCAAGCTTCTCATTTTACAAATGAGGAAACCGAGGCCCACAAGGTGAAGGGCCTGGCCCAAGGTCATACACTCAAGAGTGACTGAGGGTTCAAATCCAGGTCTTCTTGGCTCCAGCTGAAACATCTAACTACAAGGATCTGTCCGACAGAATGTAAGCTCCAGGGGCAGGGAGTATTTCTTTTTGCCAGGGCCTGGCACGCAGTAATCGATTAATAAATGTCTGTGGAACAATAAATGTCCAGCGGCCTGGGGGTAGCGCTAATCTGGACCCCATACATTCCTTATCTTGTAATCTTAAGTAAAGTCAGGAGGCCTGATGTGGAGAGAGCCAGTCTGAGAGGCAAGAAAACCTGAGTCCTGCCTCTGATACCTCCTGGCCATGTGTCCCTGGCCAAGTCACTCATCTCTCAGTGCCCCAGGCAGCTGTCCGAGGCCGCAAATGGAAAAATCTGTACCCGTGGGTGAAGGGGGTTTTCTCGCTGGGAGCTCCTTATACTGATGAAATCCAGGTTCTATTAAAAAAAAAAAAAGTAATAACAACTCCCATTCTATAGTGCTTTAGCATTGGAAATAATTACCTTCAGCCAATCCTTACAATAACCTTGGGAAGTAGACATTATTATTATTAGACTTAATAGTATTATTCCCACTTTACAGAGGGAAACATTGAGTCCCAAGAGTGGTAAAGGGAGCTCTCCTAAGATCACACAGCTGGTCAATGTCTGAGGTGAGATTTAAACTCAAATCTTCTGACTTCAAATACAACTAGGTGACTTTAGACAAGTCACTTCATTCTCTTGGCCACAGTGATGTCAGCTATAAAATGGGACCCCCAAAGTCCTGTCTGATTTGGATTCTATGATCCATCACAAGAACTCAAGTTGAGGCAGTTGGATGCGTGCAGTGGTGAGAGCACCAGAGTCAGGAAGACCTGAGTTCAAATCCTGCCTCAGACACTTAGTAGCTGTGTGATCTTGGGTAAGTCATTTAAAAAAACAAACAAACCCTGTTTGCCTCAGTTTCCTCATCTGTAAAATGTGGGTTATAATAGCATCTACTTCCCAAGCTTACTGTAAGGATCGAATGAGATATTTGTAAAAAGTGCTTGGGACAGTAGCTGGCACGTAGTAGGTGCTATTAAATTGTTAGCTAT